GGTGTTAAGACTCCATTGTTTACAGACAGAGCAGGCTCTGTGGGCTAACTAACTGCCCAATATAGAGTGTATAGTCTTCTTCCTGGCTGCACAGTGGCAGAGATGGCAGCTTGCCACCATACTTAAATGTGTACAGTTACTGTGCACTGTTTCCTTCTTTGCTTCTCTCTATACATCAGTCCTCTTCATCATCTTTTTTCCTCTGTCTGTCTCTTGTCCAGTAAACTTTTTTTATTCTTGCCTTCTGGACTTTGCCCTATCCTGGCTCTGCTAAGCCCAGATAGGCCCTTTTATATCTTGGGTCTTAATTTGATGCTGTAATTGGATGGTGAGGGACCACTCACTATCCTTTCTTCATGAGTCAGCAGAGTATTCTTGGCTAATGCCTCCCACTTATGCTGACTACAGGCATTGACCAGGGATGGCCAATTGTCCCAGGCTCATTCAGGTTTTTGTGCCTCCATCTCATCATCCAGACGTCAGTTTCCAGGAGCGCCCTGGACCACACACAGCCCTGCATTACAGTCAGAGGGGCTTTATAAGGCGTACTTGTTAATGGGAATATGGAACTAGAGTGGGTCGTGTGAGCCAAATCAGCCTATCAATGGCTACAGTTCTTCTCTGGCAACATGAAGGGGTTTTGTAAAACAGAGATGGCAGTTATACAGACGGGTGGCAATTAAAAGAAAAACCTGAACCCTTGACCCTTTGCTGGTAGTTTTTGTCCACTTGTGTGCTTAGAGGGAAAGGCCACTGAAAATCACTTTGAAGTTGACTTGACCTTTAAGAAAGCCTTTTATCAGTCTTCAGAGCTCAACCTGTAGAAACACATGTGGGATATTAGACCTACATCAAAGAAAATGACAGTCGGCACCATCATCAACATGCCTTAGTAAGGCTTTAGGTCACCAGAATAGCTTCAATATGCCTTGCTGTGTCAATACATTCAAATGTTTGCATCAGCATTGTTGCGTCTTCACCAGGGTGTGGGGGGATATCCACACTAACTTGCACCAGGTGTTAGGGCTGCACGATTTTGCATAAAATGAGAATCACGATTTTTTGGCTTAGAATTGAGATCACGATTCTCTCACGATTTTCTTTTCCAGTATAAATATTTATTGCACTTATTAACTGCACATCAACTTCGTAACAGTTGAGACTGAACATAAAAACAATAAATAAACATAAAAACAACAAATGTCTCACGTTTTGTTGTTGCCGCAAAATGTTGTACTGCTTGAAATTCCGTCTCCACCGTTGCTCGACGCTGCGTGTATAGAGCAGGTAGTGCAACAATAGAAAAATAGTTGCGGGACGGCACTGTGTAGCGTTTGTCTAGGGTGTTGATCATTTTCCTAAATCCCTCGTTTTGCACAGTGTTGATGGGAGCCATATCTTTGGTCAGGTGATAAGTGAATAGCCTCCGTAATTTCTTTGTGCCTGCGGGAGTTCGACGGGTATAGGGAAGCGCTGTATAAGGTTCCCGTTATTGATGTTTGGGTGGTTGACCGGGACGGATTTTCTCCTGTCACTTTCTCGTCATCCCTGACGTGCTCTCCGTTGTTTTTTCCCTGCTAATTTTAGCATCACACGGCACAGCTTCTGTATCACGTGGTATAAGGCTCCGCCCTTGTCATTTGTTGAGCAGGAAGAGTGAGCGCTTGTTTTCATGCAGATTACGTCCCGGATCAAAATGCGGTACAATCGTCGTCGTCTTTTTTTTTTTTTTTTTTTTTTTTTTTTTAAATCGTTGTCATTTGGAAATGAGATCGCACATAAGTATGAATCGACATCGCGATTTTCTAACGATTAATCGTGCAGCCCTACCAGGTGTACAAATTCCCACTGACAAAGTGGTTTTGCATGGTTTCAAATCCATTGGATGTTGAATTTAAGTGCAGGAGTTTTTAATAGTCAGTGTTCGCTTGCAACACCCGCAACATCCACAAATGATAATACATGGACCCCTTCCAAAATTACAAAGATAAAACTATTTAAAATATGCATAGTTAAAAATGCCATAGTTAGGTAGCTCATGTAATCCAGAAGGTTGAGATCATATTAGTAATGACAAAGAATAATTGAGACATTTTATTTCTAATTCATCACTTATCTTTGATTAAAGTGAATTAAATATGGATGTTGTTAGCGTCGTCCCCACTTTCCCTCCTACTGTTTTATGAACACTGACTCCTCTCCTATGGCACAGCTGTCATCCAGCCTGCCATCTTTTTTACCTTCTAACAAAACTTCCTGTATGTGTTGGATCTTAATGTGTGCAGGCTTGTGTGCCAAATGGCTAATAGTCTTTAGTAACTCCTGTCTGATGTAATAGCTTGTAATGTGTACGTAATACCAGTGGAACTATTTATAGAGCTGCAGCCAATTCTCAGAGATTGATGTGAGTGTGCGTGTTGGCTGCAGGGCGTGCACACACATGCTTGTGTACATATTTCAGCTTTGCTTTGACCCAACTGTATTTCTCCAATTTGTGTCTAGCTGTATCTTTGGAGAATTCTGCATGTATGTTTGTGCAGATACTGTAATATACAAAAAAAATGGGTCAGTGTATATGAAAATGCATATATGAACACATCTGGTTCCGGTCTGTCTGGATTGTGTATATGTGTGTTGCTAGAAGCTTTCAGTCTCTCTTTGGGGGATTGCATCACAGGGCAGCTATCAGACCTGAGTCATCACAGAGGTTGAGAGGCCCTCTGAAAGCTTTCCTTCCTCTTTTCTACTATATGCACAAATTTCTTTTGGTCATACAGTTGTTTGTTGTTTTTATGAACACTAAGGTATGACAGAAAAGGAAAATTTACTTTCAAACCAAGCCACACACTCTCGTAGCTCATTGGTGTATTCCTGACTGTTCTAACAGTGAAACATGTCCATGTGTTTGTTCTTTAGTAACATAAAAACAGATGCTTTTCCAACAATATGTCATGCTGTTCTTGCAGATGCTGGTTATTATTTTCATTAGTTAATCCCAGTTTTTGCTTCATGTGTCTAGAAAGCAACGCTCAAATATAGACATGCATTCACTTGAATTTTTTAGGTGGTGCTGACGGTTTTACGATGTCTTAACTTGACAAGGTCAAAGTCTATTAATGCCGTTAGTGATCATGATTGATTGATTGATTGATTGATTGATTACAACTGGAAGTTTCTCTATGCCAGGTAAGGGTTTGTTGGACAGCACTCAATGGACTGACCAATACTCGGAACAATGGGAACGCCCAAAAACCTTAAAGTTTGAGTGAAACTTAGAGCTGCCCACATCATAAAGACAAATGCTTTTTGGTGAAGTTCTCTGGTCAGACTAGACAAAGACTGAGCCATATGGCGACAATGACAAAAGGTATGTTTGGAGGAGTAAATGTGAGGCTTTCAAACCTAAAAACACTGTACTGACTGTTAAGCGGGGTGGAAGCATCATGTTCTGGGCCTGTTTTGACACTAATGGAATTGCAAAAAGTAGATGGAATCATAATTATTCAACTTTACTTTACATCAGCAGGTAGATGGTCGAAACCTTGACACCACTGGTTTTTCCAACAAGACAACAATCTCAACACTCAACATTAGGCTTCTTGAGTAGTTTTCTCAAAAGCTGATTTCAACCCTGTTGCAAAATTTGTGAACTGTACTTAAAAGCCAGAAAACCAACCAATTTAAATTAACTCAATTCTGCCAAGAAGAGTGTCCAAATATCAAGCCAGAATTATGCTATGAGTTTGTTGATGGTTACTAAACTTACTAAGCGATTTTAACATAATATTAGTGGAGGTCTATGGTATGTACAACTTTGACCCTGTGTGGATTAGAGAAAATGCCATCAGTCCAGTAACTGGTGATTTCTGGTGTGTGTGTGTGTGTGTGTGTGTGTGTGTGTGTGTGTGTGTGTACCACCAGCCATGCATGGTTTCAAAAAAGATTTGTTTACTTGGCAGTTTTGTCCAGTTTTAAAGTGATCTTAATAGAACAGGTGCACAGTCATAGAATGTAAATTGGCAAAGATGGTGATACAATGCTTTTAAATGGTTAGTGCAAAGGAGTTCTAATTTACCAAAAGAAGAGCACTTTTGTTGACCCTCACAGCCCTAATGTGCAAGGTTTAAAAAAAACACCCAACAAAAACAAACCAACAACAAAACAAACTCACTACTAAACAGTTTGATTAAATCACATGTATGATGCGTGCAGCCTTCCTGGGACTTTCCTTGCTTGCCAACAAACTGTGACGTATGCATGGGAGTGTGTCCTGGTCTCAGTGAGGGTGAATGCAGTGACAGTGAGGGGGTGTGTGGGAACAGCTGTGCAGGCTAGAGACGGTTAACAATAGAGAGCTTTCATACTACACATTCTGCTGCAGCATGTCACCAGACAGTCTTTCTTTCTCACTTCCCTCTGCTTCCCACTCGTTTTCCTTCACATCTCACATCCGTCTGTCTCTTTCTCCCTATCCCACACACACTCCCACATACTTGCCACTGCCCATGTTCAATCATACACTTCTCCCTTGCTCGCTCACTCTCCCCCTGTCTCTCCTCTCTCCCAGCCTTACTCTTTCCCGCTCCCTCCCCAAAGTTTCCCGCTACCACTTTAACCACTATTTCCTCCTTTCTTCCGAGGAACTGTGCTCATTTTGTCATCACACCTCACCCACACATGTATAAGCACACGCATCCTGCTTTTCCCAGAAGAAGTAAGGGGGGGGGGGGAAGGGGAAGTTACTTCAAGGATAAGGTAAAGCTCCTCTTGCCTTTACCAGACGGGGTGTGTCAAAGCTTTTGTCTGTCTGATGCTATATTAAATATCAGAGTTGAAAGGAGTGGTGTGATGTGTGTGTGTGTGTGTGCATGTGTGCAGAAGTCTCTAGCTTTTTTGTTCTTTAGAGAGAAAGAATGTTGGCACAAAGCGAGCCACTACGGGAGAAGTAGGAGGTTGGAGTGCTGAAGTGCCAGCCCAGGTCTGTTTCATTTCATTTGCACTGTAATGAGTCTTGTTACTGCTGTAAGCTGGGAGTTAAAAGTTAAGCCACATAAAGGGAGGAATGCAGGTAAGAAGGGAGGGAAGGTGAACACAAAAGAAGGAAAAACGGACAAGCCTCCGAACGTTCACCTAAAAACTTGCGAACATTTTGGAACGAGAGGAGCAATAAAGAGAAACTTTTTTGGGGGGGGGGGGGTTGTTGTCTTTGTCCTCTTCACTGTGCCGCACTCTTTCCAAACGTGCCCCCTCTTGCATCGAGCTCTGAAAAGAAACTTAAGCACAGATCGTCAAGAGGTCTGAAAAAGTTGGCTGTGTTTGTGCATGACTGTGCGTATGTGTGTCTACTTGAGTGCCTCGGAGGGAGCGTGTGTGTGTTGTGTGCGCGCCTAGGTCTGTGTGGGAATGATTACATCAGCCTGCTGCAGCTTTATGATTGGTTAGTGAGCGTGTGGTTTGATTCAGTGTGCCTCAGAGCCCATGGCTGAGGCTGTAACCCTTTGTGAGGGAGAGAGAGAGACAGAGCATAGTTGTCAGACTCAACCGGCACTGGAAGCACTCTACTGTACCTGCTGCCATCCGATTGCCGACTGCTTCAGTGTCTTCGTCCTGTGCGCTGTATACATACCGGCATTAGGTCACACAGACAGTTTGTTCTTTTCCTTTCCTTTTCTTTTTTTTTTTTTTTTTCCTCCTTTTTTCTTTTTTGGAGACTGCAGTCTACAGATAGACTTGAGGACTAGCCTCATGACAGGTAGCACAACTGTCAGCTGTTGGCATTCAAATTGGTACCTTTCTTTCTGGAGGACACAGGGCGACAGAACAGCGAGGTTTTCTGTCTTATTGACTATATTGGAGTGAGTGCGCTTATGTGAGTGTTTGGGGGAGCCGATTCATTCCGAAAATGCCTTCGTGTTCCCCGGACTGCTGCCTATTGCGGGCCGTGGAGGTAAGACCCCTCTTCCTGTGTCTCATTTCTCTTTTCGCCTCCCTCTCCTCTTTTTACAATTTAAGACATTTTCTCTTTGAAGTACTTTCACGTTAAACCTGAGGCAGGAAATGTAATGTGTAAATACTGTTAAGGCCGAAGACATTTTTTTTCTTTTTTTTTTTTTCCTTTTCCAAGATGTGAGCAGAGCAAAAGGATCCAAATACGTCAGCACCCTTGAAAAGGGGTATATGCTCCATTGCGTTTCATCTTAAACATCTTTGATGGGCAGAGTGCCTTAGGCCTGGCTTGTGCAAACTGTGATGCTATAAGCTGGGTATTTGCTCAGGAAGAGAACAGAATTTCTTTGTCATGATATTATGTGGGAGGCATGCATACATGTGAAAGCTTAGCCTACACAGGAATCCAGCCTACTAAGGGCTGCATTTGTCTGTAGGTTAAGTAGGTTGCTCTAGTTTCTCTGGGGGCCATTAGAAATGTATCAAGTAAATGTTAACACATGTTGTCCTGTTTATTAAAAAAATGGCTCTGGGAACTTGGACTGTCAAAATCCCCTGGATTATGTGGTGGAATAAAAGGCTTATCCACAGTATAGATGTAGTGCTACTAATGCTAATATTAGACGCCTGGATAGTGATGGTAGGCTCTCACACAGATGGGATATTAGAGGAAGGTTTTAGCTGTTCAGCACCTCATGCATTATTGCTGTACAGCAATATATAGAAAGATCAGTGGAGTAGATGTGTTTAAATTTTATGCAGAGGTGTAACAGCGCTCCAAATTTGTTTGTCCTTTTTGTTTCGTACAAAATAAAAACAAATTCCACCTCAACCATCTCCAAATATTACAACCTTCCCCAAACGAGCATGCTTTTAATAGAAATATGGGTTTTATTGATATTATTTATTTTTGAGCTGGCTAGATTACTATTACCAACGTTCATGATGCTACTGTGTGAAATGCGTTATTAAAGAAAGTAAACAATTTAACAACAGTCAGTTCAAGTTAAGACAGTTTTGTTTATGAGGTTAAGCCGGAAAGCACAGTGTTCGTATTCCTCATCTTTTATATACTGTAACTTAAAACTGTGCTTACTTCTCTTTGAGCTGTGTTCGGTACGTACCCATTTGGACCGGCTTTGTGTTCACAAGAGCGGACACTTGTTATGCACTGCAGCGTATTTGCTTCTGTATTACATCGACAAGTTGCTATAAGAAAAGCTCATCTGTTATTTCTAACGCCACAATTACCGTATAGTTTTGAATGTCTGTTCTTTTCTATTGTGTGCCGTAATTACAAGGCTGCGTATGCTATAGTGCATAAGGTGCTATATGAGAAACCGTATTGCAGTGTTTGAGGAAAATTGCTGGCTTCACCCACCTATTAGACTCTAGTGTTCAAAAAAAGGATTTGTGTAAAAGTCACGATGGGTTTACTGTAAAAGTTTCTTCTCACTTTTTTTTTTAGTATTTCGTTTGTCAGACTACCTTCATGTGATTTCTGTTCACTCAAACTGAAACCTTGGATTTCTTGTCACAGATTGTGAAGATCTTCAGTGAAGACGGCATGGGTAAAGTTGTGGAGATCCCAGCCAACATGACAGCCAGGGACCTGTGCCAGCTCCTGGTTTATAAAAGCCATTGTGTGGATGACAACAGTTGGGCACTTGTTGAACACCACCCACTGCTAGGGCTAGGTAAGGAACAGAGCTGTAGAAGCCTGAAAACATTCTCAGTCTCATACACAGACACACATACCCGTGAGCACACATGAACAGGCACATTTTCCCACACAGAAACCCATGGGCTCATGGGTGGGCTCAGACTTGCAATTCAATCACTGAGTTACAGGTGCATTGATATTTATGCATGCATGCCCGTATACTTGGCTGGACAGTTGAGGCGCTGATTCTTACCCAGGCGTGTATTCAAGCATGAGTGCATGCTAGAAAGCATATGCATGCATGAAGCCAAAAATTCCATTGATCTTATCCAGTATCACGCAGTGACTGTGTGGAAAGTTGCAGTAGCCGATAGGAGGGTTATTTTAGTACTGACAGGTTAATTATTTTCACATTCAATAGAGAAGAGACAAAAGATTATTCGGGGAAGAAATATCTAAAAGAAAGCTCAAAACAGAGTAGTTAAATGAGAGCAAAAGACAATCTAATCTCCATGTGTGCACGATTACATTAAAATCAATATCTTGAGGTTCTTTTAGTATGCTTTTGATTGTTGTTTAATTTTTGAGAAAGTAGTTCCAGTGCAGAGTAATTATATTGGACGTCCTGATATTTTTAACTCTGGCAGACTGATTTAAGATCAAATAAAAACAATACAAAACAATCATAATGGGAATGGACAAAGAATCCAGGACACTTCCACCTGTCATTATGAGCCCTGATCTATTTGTTGGGAAATATTTTGACCTAAAATGTGATTACAGTTGATCGGTTTGAGAGGTTGGTGGTTATGTGTTAGCAGATGGAGTTGTTTAAAGCTTTTGTTACTAGACCTGCTATTGTAACTGATGGAGAGGTGAAGCCAATGAGTGCACCAGATGCTGACCTGATGGGGATGATTTCGCTGCTCATTAGTAGGGACATGTGTAGTGTGTTATACTACATGTTCTTCTTGTATTTAGAGGTAAACACTGCTGAAGTTATTCAAAAAGGTGGAAAGAAGGTAACGCAGTGCGGCCGACTTGGCTTAACATTTACCCCGATTTGCTAAAAAGTATAAGAATGTGACATTTAGTTTCGAATACTACCAAACTACTAATGTAGCATTATAAAGACACAGCTCTTATTTTAACTTGGTGCTGCATTAAGAAGGCCGCAGAGGTTTACATTTATGTCCGGGTGATTTTTGTGCTAGACTCAGCAGTATAAGAGGGGCTTTGGAAGGTTGTGGCCAGCTGACTGTTTAAGAAAAAAGGAAAGAAACCCCCGAGGAGGGGGCAATTATAAAGCACTTATGAGAGACAAGTTGAGCCTGTGCTCTCTGCTCATGTCTGCACAGTTGAACAGATGTGGGAGAGAAGGGGGTGTAATTTTATATAGAGCTGCATGTCTGGAAGTGAAGTGCACAGTAGACAGAAACACGGTTTAACACACAAAAAAAAAGACATTTAATTTATGAACCAGTAACTTGTGTCAGTATATTTGTGTAGTTTTATTTATTTTATTTTTTTTGTGCTAGCTGTTAATGTTGTCAGGTGAGGAAACTTGGAATAATACGATCTGTTCTCTGCAAGTAAAGGTCCCAAAGCTCTAACCTTACATTTCACCATCTATCATGATCTGCTTACATTTCTCATCACTCCTGCCAGCACCTTGCTGCCAAATACAGTTAAGCTGGCTTATTGTGAGTGACATCATTTTTGGCTGGGAGCCCTTTATTCTGTTCTGGCACACCTGTACTGCAACGCTGTTCTTTTCAGGTCTGGAATTGCTACTTATCATCTCCAGTGTTTAGACGTTTCAGTAAGTGAGACGTCAGCGTGCCGTTTGTTAATGTTATACTTGCTTCACTCCATTTGTATGTGTGTTCTTAAAAAAAATCAAAGTAAGCTCAGTGTATGCATCACAACACATTTGCTGACACATTTCCATATATGTGGCTCTCGTCAGTATTTTTGAGTAGCTAACAGATGTGCTTAATTGCTTGTCACAGGCCATAATTACATTTGTTTACTTTATTCTCCCTCAAGTATTGATTTTGGTTTTTTTTTTTTTTTTTTTTTTTTTTTTTAATAGCTTTGTGGCCATAAAAGACAAAATTGCATTTGTGATAAATGCAGTTAAATATTTGATGGAACGTTTTAATATCCAAAACTCGGTTCGGTAGCTGTTTGCTGATATTTAATTGCGTGAGAGGTGCCGGCCACTGTAATATGTGCATTAAATATTTCCTTCATATAGTGAAATTGAATTGTAGCAGTATGTGAGACTCCTGCCTCCATTTGCGTGCGCACCCCCGCTTTATGTCGGGTCAGCACACACGGCATGTGATCCCAAATGTGTGCACATGCAGTTGGACGGTAGATGAGAATAGATGTTTCCGGGAGTCTAGAACAATACGGTGCCTATTCCTGCTGCCCACTCTTGCTATGCTGCTGAATGGCCCTTTGAGATAAGTAACACTGACCTCTGCTAGTGGGTTTGCAAAGGTTAACAACTATCAGGCGGGGAGGTGGGGCTGCCAGGGTGAGTCACGGTCACGAACATGAGTGACTCATCAGACAGGCAACAGGATTAAACGGAAAGAGAAAGATGAGTCGTGACAGAGTGGAGATTGTGGCCGCGGGGGTAAAGAGGAGGGGGCTCATGGAATGAGATAATAATGTGAGATGAGTTTACTGAAAAATTGCTCTCGAGTATTCCTTTTTTTTACATGAAAGAGTTGTCTGATCTGGTGTCTAATGGTCCTCAAAAAGTTTGGTAAGTTCCACTATTTAATTAGCTGCACTTGAAAAGGCAGGATGTCTTTAATTTAAGACATGACAGGACTCGGAGGCTGTAACCGTGTGACTCATGTTCCGGTCCAATGTGTCACAATCAGAAACTCTAAATCAGCAGGACCTCTGACTCCACATTCCTTCAAGGACACTTTTAGTTGATTCGCAGATTTAACCATTTATTTAGTAGCACTGAGAGGCACTGGGCACGAACCAATAAAGCAGAGATTCTATTCGGTGCTTAATTGAACTGTCAGATGTACAAATACTTGCATTTGTGGGATTTGCATAAAGTATTTGTATATCCCATATAGATGTTGGCACTCAGTGCCCTAAGCAATGTTTATGCAAAGTTTAATCAAGATTGGTCCACTCGTCAGCGACAGAGATGGGAAACATACGGACATATGTACATTACAATTATTATAATGACATCCTGTCCTTTTTTATCTTGGGAAAAGATGAGATGACATCATACTGCTTCTATGTTTTGTTTTTGTTTTTTGTTTTTTTTTTAATTTAGACCAAATGACTGCGATTGATTCCTTTCTAGCTCTGCTGTGTAGTAGTAGTAGTAGTAGTAGTAGTAGTAGTAGTAGTAGTAGTAGTAGTAGTAGTAGTAGTAGTAGTAGTAGTAGTAGTAGTAGTAGTAGTAGT